TTCTAGCGATAGTGACAAGCAGGAAGTGCAGACTGAAGCAGAAGTAAATCCGAATGGATTACCATGTGTTGTACCACACGGTACAGTAAAGGAACATTTCTGTACTTGGGATTTTGAAGTGAGAGCTGCATGTTTTTGTCCATAACATCAACCATGAGTCCTCCTTATTGGAGTCTGAGCAGCCTTTGTGCTTTTCATAGTTTTCATGTGGCAAAAGTTCTAACTAATTTAATAATTTTTGGTCTGTGGGAGAAAACCAGAGTACCATTAGAAAACCCACGCATGCACAGAAAACATGCAAACTCCATCCAGAAAGGCCCCCAGCTGGGATTTGATCCTGTAGCGTTCTCACTGGGAGGCAGCAGCTCTACCAACTGCGCCACCGTGCCGCCACAAAGTAACATCAACTGTTAAAAGATTTACTGTATACTCTGCTCCAAGACGGTTGCACACACGTGGTGTTTCTGATCAATAAGTTGGGACATAAAAGGATTTACTGTAGATAATTTTCATGTCACAAAATGAACAGGTAATTGCAGGCAGGTAAAAGTATTTGAAACATTATATGTTGTTCATAAAGGATCGTTTTTAAAGTCTGAACCATGCAAAAATGACCCAAGACTAAAACACTAATTAACAGAAGTGCTATTATAAGGTCATCGTTAAAAATTAATCTGCCTGTTAAATATTCAAAATTAAAGATAATCCATTCATTATCTTTACTCGCTTTTTCCTTTTTTGGGGTCTAATATATGGAGGATGGAATGTGACAAAATCAAATAAATAAATACATAAAAATGAAATGTATCATTCAATTATTAAATACATAATTAAATCATTAAATACACAATAATTAAATTATTAAATGCACAATTAAATACAACATTAAATTATTAAATACACAATTAAATTTCTTATTTCATGATTTATTTATTTAATTTTGTCACCATACGTTGGAGGATGGAATGTGACAAAACGATATGAATACATAATACGAACATAACAATCTAATGCATCATTTAATTATTAAATACATAATTAACTCATTAAATACACAATTAAATATTTTATTTTGTCACATTCCGTCCTCCAGCATATGGTGACAAAATCTAATAAATAAATAAATCGTGAAATAAGTAATTTAATTGTGCATTTAATAATTTAATTGTGCATTTAACGATTTAATGGTGTATTTAATAATTAAATGATACATTTCATTATTATGTATAAAATTTTGTCACCTTCTGCCCTCCATATTTTGTCACATTCCGTCCTCCATATTTTGTCACATTCCGCCCTCCATACAGTCAGAATTTAAACGATAAAGAAAAGAAAGTGAAGTAGCCGAATGTGTTTTAAAGTGGTTATGTGTCATTTCAAGCCATTTGTGGGTGATTAGCATTTGAAATGAAGACTAAACCAAATTATTCCTCTCTTTTATTCAAAATTTAAGATAATAATTTCCTCTCAGCTCTTCCTTCTATCAGATCTTTGGAGTTAGAACAGTTACACCTCTCTCTGCTTATAACGCCACTCATTTATCTCTTGCTGACTCATTCCCACAAAGCAGAGCCGCTCCGCCTTCTTCACCAACCAAGAACAGATTAAAGGAACCAAACAGCAGAAATGAGACATCCACAGCAGACGAGGGGGTTTAAGAGCAGAAAATGTAACCAGTGCTGAATTAAACCTATTTTAAGGCTGTTGAACAATCAACGCCTGAGATAAAGATCATTTACAGATATTCACAGACGTGGAATAGTTTCAAAAAGCCAAACAAAGAGCCAGCATCCTTGCTGCCACGTCCTTGCCGGAGCGGTCAAACCCACTGATTTATGATCCCAGAGTGAGAAACACACTCACACACACACAAAGGCAAGCTACGAGAATCAATTCATCACACTTTATTTTATGCGACCCCAGCTGATGAAGCGGCTAAAAAGAGGCACAGTACAATCTCAGCAGATTCTGTAGAAACACACACATCCAGACAGAGAGGCCTGCCGGAGCAGAAGATACAACCTGCGGCTCAGAGCTTCAAACAATCATCAGTTTTATTGGTACAAGTGTGATTACATGTGAGGTTCAGGTGAAATGAGGCCAACAGCTAATACAACAACCAGTGTTGGTGTGCTTAAAGTGGTAGTTCAGATCTTTTGAAGTGAGATTGTGTGAAAAGGTTATGAGTGGTTATTATCTTACTAGATGCAGATAAGTCTTTAAGCAAACCCAGTCCAGAGAAACTGAGTCTAATGCATGAGTTGGCTGCGAAAAGGTCATGTGGAGAACTTGACCTTGAAAAAAGTGGATGATGATGCAACTGGCCTGGCGTGGTCTTTCTGTTTCTGTAGTTTGTAACGCATTTATCATTTATTTGTAGTGTGTGTGTGTGTGTGTGTGTGTGTGTCCTTGTTTATGCTACTTTGTGAGGCCCATTTTTCCAACTTATACTGCATTGTGAGGACCAACTGCTCCTTATGGGGCCCAAACAGTGGCGGATTCACCGTCGGGCACGACGGGACACTTCCCGGTGGCCTGGTTGCCGAGGAACGGGACTAAAGGCTCGGTTCGGGTCGAACGGACTTTATTATTTTAAATAAACAATTCACTTTTGCCTGGGCTCAGGTCTCACGCTGCACTGCAGCGACGGAGAAAGCCTGGCACATCCCCCGGCCGGGCCGGCCCCCTCCCTTCCTTTTCTGTGTGTCACAGAGCAGAGACACACACACACACATTGCGCCCGCCCCCCTCCCCGCCCTAGGACTCGCGCTCCCGACCGTGTTGGCGCGCGGTGCGTGCATCTCGTAGAATGGAGCAACAGAGACAGCCAAAGAAGAGGAAAGGTGGAGCAGAGAGAGAGAGGATAAAAAAGAGAAAAGCTCTGGCCGCGGATGCTGCTAAGTGCTATAAATTAATGTTTGTTCGTAATGGAGCAGGTAAGAGAAACACTTGTGTTGAAAAAATTGAACTCTGGCACAGTTTATCAGCACAGCTTAATATCCACATGCTAGCTTCACTTTGAGGGACCGAAGTGGGCCAAAACTGACTTAATATAACAAATGTTTTTAAGTTTTTACAAAGAATATTGCAAATTTTATAATATGGGTTAGGATCTGAAAAAAGTTTAATGTTGAAATGTCTAGGAATTCAGATTTTTTTGTATCTAAAAAAGTTAAGTCAGGTCCTCTGGACAAATAAAAAAAAAACTTGTTGAAACTTTTGTCTTTAATCCAAAGGACAAAGGACGGATTATTGCACCACAGAAGAAAGATTTATGTAGGTATTCAGTTAGACGTGTGCAAACAACATGCATTCAAAGTGCGCTCAATTGAACTCAGTCTTGGTGGTTTGCGTTAATCAGGTGGTGGTGGCCTGGGATGGTATCAAAATTCCCGGCCTGGATTATTGTCCCAGTCCGCCCCTGGGCCCAAAGCCCGGGCCCCATAAGAAGAAGTCCCGTTGGTGGGTTA